CTAAAGAAAAGGAGAGAGAGAGAGAGGAAGCTTGGTTAGTCTCACATTATCTAACCCTTGTAGCATTTTCTAGTCACTTAAATTCCTAATCAACAAAACAAAGTTGCAGTACCTGACCCTTATTGCATACCACTTGGAAGAAATTTTGTTGAAGAAATTCCATGCCCATAATTGTCACTAAATACTTGCAAAAGATCTCAAAGCTTTTTATGCGAGAACAAAGCATCTAATTGAAGCTTAAGCCATGGCTTCCACCATCATTAGCAACTTGGAGAACGTACCCTTTAGTTTATTCTCCACAATACATGTTCATATGTTTTCTTTTCTTTTCTTTTTCCTTTTTTACCCTTTTTTTTTCTGAATTGTGTAGCTCCAAGAATGTTGACTTCACTGATGACTGTTAATCACTAGTTCCCCATTATCAAGTACAGAAATGAAAACACAAATATTGTTTAATGATATATAGAATCGATTTCCCTTCATCTCCATACCTTATATATACAGTTAGTGGTTAAACCATCCAATGCCTTGCCATGCATTGTTAGTTATAGCACACAGCACAGTGCAAGTATTGTACAAAGGCTGTTGTTGAGTGGCAAGAAATGAGAGAAGAGACTGATCTAAAGGTTATCCCGGTGCACGAGGCTCCTACCAATGAGGATCCTTTCTAGAAGTTATACCATTCAAATTACGTATAGATCTTGAGTCAGCAAATGGTGAAACAGGGTTCATATAGTCGACCCCATATAGTTGGGACAAGGCTTAGATGATGATGATGATTTTGAATCCGTCCAGAGAGCATTATATATCTTTCTTAATTTTGCTCTTCTCCCCAAAAGAATGTTACTGTATGATCCACTAACTTTGCCTGGATTACATCAATTGAAAGGGATCGCCATATTTGGCAATACCAATGATATTTCATGCTAACTCTTTTATGAAAGAGTCAATGACAATTGCTTTTCCTCTTTCCCCATTGGTCCTTCTAAGCAGTTGTGATTCTACAAAAATCCACACCCACTCCCTCCTCCACTCAATCTAACTACTATTTGGATATTCGCATAGTTATAGTGTTTACCTTAATTAGGTTTCTTAAATTTTGTACCCAGCAATTGAATTTCCATCTTTAATTGCATATTTGCTTTGAGGGAGGATTCCATCTCTTCTGATAGTAGAGCAATTAGCTAATGGATTCTCTTCCTCCCTTAAGGACACTCCCATTGTTGGAGAACACTGTGGCTCTGAAAGCATTTTCACAAATTTGACTAGCATTCACCTACAAACCAATGGATAAGGATTTCAACTTATGAAGGGAGGATTTGGGATTTTGAAAGGAAGCATGGACTGAATAGTAGTTCCAATACAGACTAGGCAAGGATGAAGTCTGCAAATCATGACCAGAGGAATGCCCCCTATTATTGACCGACTTCATTAATATAATTTATCAAAAATTAAAAAAAAAAAAAAACTCATTAACTTGTTCATATCGATTGTACTGGACGGCAATTAATTTCTCGAATTACCCTTTCACTTTTTCCCGGGATTTCTACTTTCAAGACCCTTCAAGTTTTACTTATTTTTAATTCATATTGATGTTTTAAAATGCGGAGACGTGACATGAGGCATTTCACCATCTTAAGGGGTGAACGCATAAGGCATAAAAGCATAAGAAATGTGAGCCTCCTAAGAATGTGTTAATAAGTTTTCACTAAAAAAAAACGAAATTAGGGATAACTGGAAAAAAGGGTTTGATTATGATGCCGGAAAGATATGATATCAGAAAAGCTTATAACCAATCAGCAAACATCATAAAAGTATGAACCAATCAGGTGGGTTTTCACCAAAATTTATGGAAGTTGTGATTGGTCAAAGCCTTTCCGGTAATGATATCTTTCCCGCATCATAGATTTTCCCCAAAAAAATTATAATTATAATTTCTAATAAAAACCATCACATTCAAATAAAATAAAACTGATATTATATTTAAGCATGACCATCATAAAGGTTGATATCAAATTGTCAAATATGAATGGTGTTGCTTTTGGAGGGGTTGTTTATAAGAGTACAACTTAGGCAGGTTCGGATTGGAATCTTGTCAAATTTTGAATGGGCTTGACCTGAAACCCGAGCCCAAATTATTGTAAAATGCTAATTCGGGCAAACCCGAGTTGCACCCCTAATTGTTTAGGCTACATTTGAAAATGATGCAAATGGAGTGTAAATCTCTATTCAGGGTAAATTTGCACTGGTTCACTTTGGCTTGTTTTTCGTAACATTACATCTATGCATTGACAAATGACAGAAAACACATTTCCAATGCATATTTACATTGATAATAAGATATAAAGGCTCAATTTGGAAGGAGTACAAATACAAATATGTAGAGTGCAAAACCTTATATTCTATATTATTTTGTATGTATTTRCACTGTACATATTTGCATTTGTACTCTTTCCAAACTGAGCCAAAAGTACATCAATAAAAAAGAAGTAAGCTTGTATTCAAGTGGGCTTTTGATTAAAAAAAAAGGGCATATGCTTTATTGGAATTCTTGTTTGCATCCATTTCAATTAAAAGTCTGTTTGGTAAGAAGATAAATTTGTCAGTACAAAAGTAACCCAACTTTACAATTTATATGGACTGTTTTACATTCTACATATTTGCATTCACACTTATTTGCATTGTTTTCAAAGGCAGCCTTAGTAACATTCGTTATGTAAGCCCTTAAGGCAATTCCATTCAACCAAAATCAGAAGATACAGGTTCTGATCTACATCAATGATAGAAGAAACACAATAAGGGGGATTGAATGCACCCCTTATTTCTATGGGATTGTTCGGTTTAATTACATTTTATGGCGCCCTTTTACCTCTTTTATTTGAGTTTTTGTGTAACCATTTTGCCCTTAACCAATGATTATTTTTATTTAATTATTTTGTTGATTGTTAATTAATTAGTATTTTTAACTAAACAATTAATTAGTTAATGCTTATTGAATGTATTAATTATTTCCTTTTTTATTTAATTATTTAATTATTTTGTTTAACTATTTAATTAAATCATTTTCTCCATTTTTAATTATCGAATCTATTTTTAATCCTTCAAGTTTATCCATAAGGGTAAAGTTATAAGACAACCATTATACTTCAACTTAGAACAACATTCTCTACATTTTAGATCAGTGAAAGAGAAGATAGGCAAAATTTTACTTTCTACTTTTCTTAGAAATTTTTTATTGTCCCAAACTCAGAATTCAATGTTACCGAATGACACTAAACCTATTCATGGGCCATGCTCGGGCTTAAWTTTTGTCAAAATTTAAATGGACCCAACCCCAAGCCTGGCCGGTAAGTAGGTCTAAATGACACCCGAGACAAAAACAACCATCACATCAGAAAAAAAAATGTATTATTTTTACCGTCATGCCAATTATTTTTGTTATAAAAAACAAAACCACTCACATTGGCAGCACCCCTCCCCCCCAAATCCATTTGACAACATTGTCTTCTTGCTCAACATAAGTTAAACCATGGCTAGGTTAAGATAATTCAGATGAGCCAAAAATGGCTCCATTTAATATCCAAAAGATCTTGTTGTAGTTATGGAGAGAGAATCTTCACCAACCCAATAATAACTGGTTATTTGTTGTTTCTCAATCACAAGCACAATTATACACATCTCAACCCAACTTTACCACTCTCTCTCTCTCTCTTCTACTCTTCATTACATTCGTTACATTTCACCAGCTACTGTTCAATTGATAGATGAAGAGGTGAATCAGAATCGAGTCTGGATTTTCTATTCATGTCTATTCACATAATATCTCAGCCACACATGAAGAATATCTCATCTTCCTTCATAATATTATACAGGAGAAGATGTTCCCAATTCACGGGGGTAGTGTGTTATGGGTAAACGTGGGCAGAAAATTCGGAGTCATCAGAATCACCCGTGACAAAAACTGTTGCAGGTGTAAACGAAGGAGGAAATGCAGTGGGGAATAACGGCAGCATGGCTCCCAGGGACACGTGTTCGGCTGTGATGGTGGTTAGTTATGACCCTGATGATATGGCTTGGGTTGAAGGATTCCCCTGACACAAAAAGAAAGAGGACGAATCAAGTTCCAGAGCAAAAACTGTTCCTTTACAACACTCAACGTCGTCCACCATTCCCTCTCCTCCTCCTCCTCCTCCTTTGCTTCGCATCACACCGAAAAGACTTCTCCTTTCATTTGGCAACAATCGTACCAAAGTCTTCCTTTCTCTTTTCTAGTTCCCCAAAATGCCCTCTCCACCCACCGGTAACTACTTTTCAATTCATCATCGCCTTTTTTTTCCATGGCTTTTCAAGTTTTGACAGAGTACAATCATGGTGACCAGAGAAGAGAAGCAAAACAGCAGCCAACGGCCAAACAGATCAGAACAACCACGCCCATTGTCGTCAAGCAAGCAATGAGAAGAGCATGAGAATAAGGAGAAGCTGACAATGATGAGAAGAGGAAGCTTTGGAGTGTTTGTTTTGTTGCTCAGTAGAGACAATTCAGTAGTCGTCCCTCCTTGCACTGTTGGGTTAAAAATTAAACAAATTTGGTGACTCCAGTACTTTATGTCATGTCAGTTCTCCAACAAAGGGATGGTAGTCGATCAGTACAGATCCAATCCGACTGTGACTACTTGGGCTGCTGTACTGATCACCCAAGTGGGTCGTCACGGGTTCATTGAACTTCTCTTCAAACTTTGGCCGGTTTCCGGCCGGCAGGATCTCGTCGTACTAGGAAATCGATATGGCGCAGGTGGCCGTATGTGCATGTCTTCGACTCACCGTCCACACTCGAGACAGCAGCAGTTGGCTGAGACTGAGAAGGCCTGAAGCCTGAGTGTGTCTGGTGAGTGGTGACTGGTGCAAAGCTACTACCATCTACACGACTAGCTACGACCCTCTTTTGGGAATGATGAAGGGTATTTTGGGAACTTAAAGAAAACAAAACTACCTACTAAGCCCAACGGTCTGATTATCCGAATTTGCTTGATTTCAGAGATAGCTACGACCCATCACTCTCAAAGTCCATTTCATGTAAACTAGCTCAGGATAGTTACAGCTTGTGGGGGTGAAGTGAGAGTGAGAGTGAGAGATTCCAATGGACAATGCCAACAAGGAGTGAGCCATGCGTAGCAGTAGAATAAAGAGTACTTCTCCTCAGACCACCCAACCCACAAATGTTTGACCCCACAAGGCACAAATCTCTTTCTACAGCAGATCCATTGATTCCAATCTCCAATCCATCGATAAATCAATGACCCAATTGCCAAACCATCATTACGTGACGTTTAATCCCTCTGTGCCATTAAGGACATCTCGGGAGGCCCTCTATAAATCAGGTCAGTTCTGTTAGAAGCTCACGTCTATGAGAAATGGAAGGAGGGAAGGGTCTGGTTGTTGTAGCCGAGCCAAGAGACTCCTACAATATCGCTTATATTATTCATTTCTTTCTCGGCGCTGGGAATTTGATTCCATGGAATGCTTTGATCACAGCTGTGGATTACTTTGGCTATCTATATCCAGCCAAGCATATAGACAGGGTATTCTCCGTGGCTTACATGGGTTCATCACTGCCTGTTCTGGTCTTGATGATGAGCTGGGGGAGCTGGAATAAGAAGCCAAGCTTCAGGCTGAGGATGAACTTGGGGTTCTCTATGTTTGTTCTCTCTCTTATGACAGCTCCTGTGATGGACTGGGCACGCTGGAGCCGCAAGGCAGAGCATGGAGCTTATAGTGTGACAGTTGCAGCAGTGGCAGTCTGTGGGTTGGCCGATGGGTTGGTCGGAGGGAGCCTAATAGGATCCGCAGGGGAGCTGCCTAAGCGGTATATGCAGGCGGTTTTTGCCGGAACTGCTTCTTCAGGTACTCTCTCAGAACGATTAGTTTTTCTTACTTCTTTTCTCTTTCCTTCTCCTTGGAGTCTCAGAGTACCAATTCATAAAGCAAAAGAAACCACTCAGGGCTCACTGAGGCAATAAACGCAGAAGTGGGTTGAATTGAGCTAAGGATATAAGCAGGCTTTCTATTTCTGAGAAACCCAAGTGCTTTGCTGGACTGTTAGACGATGATGTAGTTAAGTTTAAGTTACACTATAAACGCAAAAGATATGAAAGAAAGCAATTTCTTTTTCCTTTTCCTTTTCCTTTTCCTTTTCCTTTGGATGAAAAAAGGATCAACTGATCGAAAAACTAAGGGGCACTCTTTATCAGTTCAGTTCATTCAGGGAATTGGAGATGGTTGGTCGGATCAAATGAGAAGTATGCCTTCTTCATTTGATTATTAACTGACAAAAGCTTTGGCTAAGTATGGATCTGAAGAATTTAGGATATGGAAATTGAATTGAATTCCCCTAATTCCTTGTGGCAAGTGAGTTTGGAATCTGAAATACCTCCCTGTATTCCTCTCCCCACGCTGTACTAAGGAACAAATTTCAGCCCGATGGACCTTGCTGTCCTCTGGGTAAATTTTGTATTAAAAATTATGAAACTTTGAATGGATAAGTTGCTGTATTTTTGGTTAATATTAGTTATTGCTGTGTTTGGGTGTTCATGATTTTCTTTTCATGGTTAGGAATGGTGATTTAAAATTATTCTCCTGGGAGGAATAGAAATCCATAGGGGAGGCAATCATTTTTGAAATTCTCTTTTGGGTATAAACTGGATACGCCAGATATCATTTCCATTTTACTGCTTGGTCCAAAGTACAGATAGCCTAGTTTCTGGTCAAAACATGTCTAGAAAAGAATCTTTTTTGCTTTTCTTCAGAGATATTGCAGCAGTTGGTTTTGTCCCATTAAAATTCAGAATTCTGTTCTCAGTGCCTGGACTAATACCAGTAATCTTGTACAATGGACCTGTGATGATTCAAATTCAGAAGGGTGAGCCAACCTGAGGTGTTTATCTTTTGTTGCATATTGAAACCAAGCATACCAGTAAAACTCACTTTGGGCTGGTGACATAAATTAACCAGTTAAAATTCTTTTCTATGCAAGTTTCTAGTTTAGCTCTACTGATTAAATACATCATCTTGGTACAGGTGTTCTTGTTTCCATCTTGAGAATTATAACAAAGGCATCCCTTCCCAAGACTACACAGGGTCTACAAGTGAGTGCCCATCTCTATTTTATTGTGAGCACTCTTATTGTGCTGGTTTGTATTGTCTGCAGCAACATCTTAGAGAGGTTGCCTATTGTGCAAATGTACCGGAACAAGAAAACTGTGACCCCCAGGTCCGAGGCACCCAACTTTTCAGATGATCTGCGGAGCACCATGAGCAGGCTTTGTGCTGTGAATGAACCCAATGGACAGCCAAAATTTTGGGATGTTGCCAGAAAAATTCGATGGTCGGCTTTTGGCATTCTTATAATTTACACAGTAACCCTCTCAATTTTTCCAGGTTACATATCTGAAAATGTGGAATCCAAGCTGTTTCAAGATTGGTATCCTATTTTGCTGATCACAATGTACAACATTTTAGATTTAGTGGGGAAGTCCTTGACTGCAGTATATGTTCCAAAGAGAATTGGAAAGGTCACATGGGCTTGCGTGGCCAGGCTGTTGTTCTATCCACTCTTTACAGCTTGCCTTCATGGACCCAAGTGGTTGAGAACCGAAGTCCCAGTGGTATCTTTGACTTGCATGCTTGGATTGACCAATGGTTATCTGACTAGTGTCCTAATGATACTTACTCCAAAGACAGTACCTGTTGCAGAAGCAGAAGTGGCTGGAGTTGTGATGGCTCTGTTCTTGGGAATCGGATTAGTAGGAGGTTCAGTCCTTGGGTGGTTCTGGATAATTTGAATCTAGTCACCCCATCTGGCCTATGGCCAAGTAGAAGAAAGTCAAACACCAACATGGATGAGGAGGCCCATGTGAGCCAATCGTTTATTGGTCCCTTATCTTTCCTATCTCCACATTTGAAGAGGGAAGACCAAGTAGCCCATAGATGATAAGAACAATGGGAGATCAGAAGAATGAATCCAGTCAGAGAATATATCTGTCATGTTGGCTGGGGAACTCCAAAGCTGTAATTTATTAATTGTTTATCTCCTTAATCAAATTTATCCTGGGTGGAAACTATTAATTCCTTTTGCTTACTTGGAATGAGGAACTCAATCTTTAAAACAAACGTAGAGTGCTCAAGACATGAAAAGAGCTGAAGAATGAGACTGCAATGAGTTTCAGCTTTCAACTAAAGATAATCTTTGAAGATGATGCATGCTTCCATTGCTCAATTCCAAAAAATGGAACATAAAGACACAGATCAGATAGATGTAAAAAGTGGCTAAACTGAATGAAGTATTGCTTTGTTTTTTGGCGGATAAATTATTTAATAAATATTCAGGGATATAGTAGTCAACCCAACATGTAATTCAGCCATTATCAAAAGGCTTCTAAGCTAAGGAAAAGGTCATAAACTTGACCAAACGGTATATAAATTCTTTCTTCCTATTCTTCATTTCCCTTTTCTTGTCTGAAAGACTGACACCAATTTGAAGGTTGTTAGGGGCATTTTGTTTGGGTTGAATCTGGTAAGGATATCACATGCCAGGACACATCAAATGTAAGGGTCATAAGTCCCTTGTATGTCTGTCACATATGCAACATGGGCAGGCGGAATAGTTTTATTTGCACCCTTCCATGTTCCATCCGAGCAAAAGCATTCATCAAAATTGATGAGAGCAAGAAGAAATCAGGTGATGATGAAAACAAAATTGTATTAAAAAAAATGAAATTTCTGTAATTTCCTAGTACAAAACTTGAGATTTTGAGACACTGAATCTGAACAATATACAAGTAGGGTAAATAAATAACATGTACTACAGATAATCTTGGTTCCTTTCTTGCAATCTCTGAATTTTGACTGTAGACTTGCTTTTGTAAATGGTTTCTGTTATCTTGGCCCTGATAGCCGTACAGCCGAAAGGTATGCAGAACTATTGCAATCAGATGGTCCTGATAAAGTACTTTCCTCACTTATTGACTTGAAAAAACTTGAGTAAAGGCGAAACCCCAACTGAGAGGAGGTAGGGGGTAGAGGTACAACACAGAGACCTTCAAGCATTTGGACTACCTTAGCCATGGATGGTCTTAGGTGCATATCATCCTGTATACACCACAACGCTACCTTAATTGCAGTAGGAACTCTCTCATCACCTTCCTCAACCCTTAGCTTGGAGTCTAGAATTTCTTTCAGTTTCCCTTCCTCCATCATCTTGAATGCATAGGATGGAAAATGGGATTTTTCTGAATTTTCTGCTGGATCAAAGTTTTTCCTACCCCCAATGATCTCAAGTAAGACCATTCCATAACTGTACACATCGCTCTTCTCTGATATGGCATAATTTGTGATCCACTCAGGTGCCAGGTATCCCCTGGTACCCCTCAGTGTAGTGAAAACATGACTCTGTTCCCTGGTCATCAGCTTAGCTAAACCAAAATCCGAAACCTTTGCTAAGAAGTTATCATCAAGAAGCACATTTTCAGGCTTTATATCACAATGGACAATCTTCACATCGCAATCCTCATGAAGGTAGGCCAATCCTTTTGCTGTGCCTAGAGCTATATTGAACCTTGTCTCCCAGTCCAGCATGTGTTCATCTCTGTTATTCTTAAAGATCCATCTATCCAAAGATCCCTTAGCCATGTATTCATAGGCAAGAAGCCGGTGGATCCCCTCAGCACAAAAGCCTTTGATCCTGACTAGATGGACATGGTGAATGCTTCCTATGATGCTAACTTCAGCTCGAAACTCTTTCTTCCCCTGACCAATACCCTCCAGTTTCTTCACTGCTAGCCGAGTCCCATCTGGTAGCACCCCTTGGTAGACTGAACCAAACCCACCCTGACCAAGTTTAACAGAGAAGTTATTTGTAGCCACTTGAAGATCTTTGTAACTGAAGCGGATTGGCATCCCTGATAAACCCTCCAGGAAATTATCCTCTTCTGATGATTCTTGGGGAGTTGGTTGTAATGTCTTCTTTTTCCGGATGTACCGAGACCCCAGATAAGCTAGGCCAATAATAACTAGTACTGTTGCAACAGCAATAATCACAACAATTAGAATTGTTTTTCTGCTACTGCTTCTTCCTCCCCCACTAGGGTTTTGTCCCTGGTTTCCATTTCTTGGGGCCTTGATGTAAGATATGTACCCAGTGGAGCTCTGATCAGATTGTTGCAAACTTCCTATCTGGTCAAACAAAAAGCATTTCCCTGAACTATTTTTGAAGAATAAAGCAAGACAAGAGCAATTACTAAGGCATGCATCTTTGCAGCCATTAAGATCATATCCAGAGAAGGGTGAAACAAACTGAAGTGCAAAATAATTGAGCCCTTCCCCGACTTTTATAAGCTCCACTGAATCCTCTGAGCTATTGCAAGGAGAGAAATTTCCAAGTTTGCAACCACGGGAGGAAAGAACAGCAGGGCACTGGCACCGATTACCATTGGAACATATATTATATGGATCACAGTTCCCAGGTGTGCTGCACCAACTTTGAGGTATCCTCTTTGCTGGAGTAGTTGATGATCCCTTCTGAAGAATGGAAAATAAGATTGCCCCATGGTTGTCTAGCATTGCAGCCCATGTGATGTTTGGATCAGTATTATCTGAGAAGATATATTGAGAAAGAAGGGTTCTATTTTGATCGTAGAACCTCCATGAATTGGAAATAATAGTTGCTGAGCTGACTTCACCATTTTTGTTGACAATTTTCTCCTCTGCCATAGACCAGTAAGGCTGTGGAGTCTGGAAATCCGCATAGAGAACCAAATCCCCTGAGTTGATTTCAAGATGATAACTCAAGTTATTGGAGTCTGGATTACTAATGAGTTTCATTCCTTTAGAGAAATCCTGACCCGATAAAAGTGTATCCGTTGGATGACTGAAACTCTGCCAAAGAGGATTACCATCTTTATCAAGCAAAACCAAGTTGCCCGAATCCTGCAACTCCATGGAAACAACTCCCTTGCCAGCAGTTTCTGTAGACCAAACCATGCCTCTCCCACTTTCCAAATGTGCATTGCCGTCGTCACCAAACACAAATTTATCAGAATTCCCAACCGGAGAACCTCTGTTGGCGGTCCAGACCGTTTTCAAACTAAGCGTATGTTGAATTGCTAGTAGAAACAAAGTAACATCGCTGCTAGGGATGAAACCAAAAGCAAAATTCAAGTTGTTAGACACAAGAAACAATCCGTTCTTGTCGATGAAATTCATCTGAGACCCTTGAAAGACGGGACTAATCTGGCCAACAGCCTGATTACTAGCACCAGAAGGTCTAGATAGAAGGGATAGAAGCAAAAATAGAGACACAATAGAATAAATGCAAAATCGAGTGTTCATACCCACCGCAAGAACTTGAACTTACCCAAAATCAACTCCAAAGCAATGGTCGTCAAAGAACAAAAATTGAGAGCCTCTAAAGAATATGGATTCACACTCAAAAAGGAGTAGAAGAAAACGATTTGAAGGGGAAAAAAGGAACAGAAAAGAATGAACTTTTGAACAAGTCGATTTACAAACTATAATATTCTGTAACTTAGATTAGCCTAATCCTGTTCAGAACCCAAATGGAAACCCACAATCTACGAAGAGATGCAAAAACTGACAAATTGAAATGTGGGAATTTCACACTCGAACCTATGGGTACTTACATCATTTACCTTCAAGACAACTTAGTTTCTCTTCTACCCAAGTTCTATGAAGTCCCAGAGTAAAAACGTTCCAACAGACGCTCGCCCAATTAAGCTAGAAATGAGGGAACCACGGCAGAGATCTGATGAGTTTTCAACGTCCAACCATAGAAACGGAACAAGCTTTAGAAACTCCCCGGAAAGCTCTGAAACGACTCTATACAGACAAGAATTTTTCTTCTAGACAAAGGGAAGAAGACAGCAAGAGATCTCAGGTGCATCCATCAAACCGAACATAACTCACTTCGTTTCTTGTTCTTCCACCCATAGAAACAAGTGGGTTTGAGGAGACGGGTCCTTCAGTCTCGACAGACGAAGAGAGGAACAGAGAGGATTCGATTTGTGGTGGGGTTATCCTGCTTTAGCCTCTTCTGTTGACAGGCGACGGATTTTCTGTGAATTGCGGATCCCGTTTATAATTTCTTCAGTTTTGTAATGGAAATGCACTGTTTCTGATTTGGTTTTTAAATTGTATTTGGTGATTATTTATCGAAGGTAGATGAGGTGCTGCCTCTGTGGCTCTGCCTGCAATGAATGCTTGTTCTACCTTCTACGTTGGCTGAGGGCGAGGTGCAAGAGTCAACTCAAAGCCGGTGTCACCGTGTCAGCAAGTCTGAAAAGTGCTTTTAGTGGCTCCCCTCTCACTCTCTCAGTTTTTTACCTTCTTAGTAAAATACAAAAACCTCCCTAAAGTTTCTGATAATCATAAAAATCTCTTATAGTTTTATTTTAATAAATACCTCCATGATTTTTTAAGAAATTTTACAAAAATATTCCTTCCATCACCATCTCAGACGTAAAACGTTAGATTGATGCACATTTTTTTCAAGTACCCATTCTACGTTTTTACAAATTATTTTATATACAAAACTAGTGAAATAATCCAATTTTAGTTCAACAAAAACACTAGAAAATGACTGTTAAAGGAGGTTTTTGTCAAATTAAAATAGGGTTATCCCTCTCACTCTCTCAGTTTTTTACCTTCTTGATAAAATACAAAAACCCGCCTGAAGTTTTTGATAATCATAAAAATCTCTCTTATAGTTTTATTTTAATAAATACCTCCGTGAATTTTTTAGAAATTTGACAAAATATCCCTTCCATCACCCTCTCAGACAGAAAAGTTAGATTGATGCACCATTTTTTCAAATACCCATTCTACTCTTTTATAAATTATTTTATATACAAAATTACTAAAAAAAATTCAATTTTAGTTCAACAAAAACATTAGAAAATGACTGTTAAAGGAGATTTTTGTCAAATTAAAATAGRGTTATTTCAATAATTTTGTATGTAAAATCATTTATAAAAAGGTAAAATAGGTATTTAAAAAAACTGATGCATTAGTCTGACGTTTTCCATGTGAGAATGTAACGAAATGGAGGTTTTTGTCAAATTTCTCAAAAATATAGAGGAGATATTTATTAAAATGAAGCTATAAAGAATGTTTTTATGATTGTCATAAACTTCAAGAGATGTTGTTTGTATTTTACCTTTCTTTTTTCCATCTTGCAAAGGGAGATGGAGAAAAAGATAAGATATGAAAAGAATTTTGACCACACCCTCTTGCAAAATATAACCTCGTTCTTCGGCGGGTCAACTGGTGATGCATGTTGGTCAATTATGTGACTTTTGTGTTGCTGCAAGTGGTAGGGGTGCAAATGGATCAGTTCCGATTCAATATCCGTTCCTATTTATAGGATTTAATCGAAATCATATCGGATTTAGGTCACTCTTCTATCCGATCTAAAAAGATCCTATTCGATAAATATTATATATTAATAAATATAATACACATATATATATATGTTACTTATTTATTATATAATATATATATATATTATTTATTTATTTATAAATATATATTTATATTATATATTTTTTTAAAGTTGTTATATTATTTATTTTATATATGATAAAAATAATTAAAAAATAATTGTATTTTTGTTTTTACTTTATTTAAATTAGTATATTTTATTTTTTTCTTAATAATTTATTAACCTTTAAGGACAACAAGTCATACTAGACTAGATCCGAAGATCTGACTTACCAATAGGAATCGAATTCAAATTGAGTCCTATAAGAATCGATCGAATCTTCAGATCGGATTTGATACCTTGATTCGAATCCAYTGTTTGCATCCCTAGCAAGTGGTAGTATTGTTTGTGAGGTTATGGCTGAAATGGGTCGAGTAATGAGAGTATTCCGTTAAATTCTTATCCAATCCGTTTATTATATTTTGATCAATCTGAATTAGGGATGCAAATAGATTAGGTCGGATTTGAATCAAGGTATATTCAAATCCGATCTGGCACTATTCGTGTTGGATCCGATTGGAAATGATAGGACTCGATTTGAATTTGAATCCCATCAGTAAGTCGGATCTTAATCCGATTTGTTTTATTTAAAAATTAATAAATTATTAAAAGTAAAATAAAATATGCTAATTTAAATAAAGTAAAAACAAAAAAATACAAGTATTTTTTTTATTATTTCCATCATATATATACATGTTTTTATAAAAAATGAATAATATAACAAATTTATAAAAATATAATATAAAAAGCTTAATAATATATTATAATATATAATATTTCATAACTGATGGATCGGATTGATTTTTGGCATATCAGATTGGGTTATATTTGAATTCGTTCCTCCATTAATTAAACCAATCAACTTTCTGATTTGTTAAGATTAAGGCTATGTTTGGTTTGAAGGAAAAACATTTCCCTTTCTTTCCCTACACTTTCCTTCAAACCAAACACAGCGTAAGGGAGGCATTTGAATCCAGTTTTTATSGGATTGAATTGGGATTCGAATCAGATCTGATCCAATTTATTTACAGCCCTAATTAAAAATCTGAAGCTCATTCAAAATCTAAATATTCGATTCAAATGTTTATTAGATTGGATGGAGCCAAATCTAAATTCCGATCTGATTTTCTAAATGGATGTAAGCTTTAAGATTCAAATGCGAGCTTATAATTGGATATTAGATGAGTATCGAGTTTTTGTTGTCTATTGACAGCCCTAATCGGTCCATTTATTTTGGATTGGGATCCAAGCCAATATGGAACCAATAATATCCGACTTAATAATGTCTAAATATATGGGTTAATATTTACTTAAAATTAATACAACTTGTTAGTAAAACTGTTTTGAATGTGATCTGTTTATTAAAGATATTGTTGAAGTTAGGGTTGTCAATGGGTTATAAAAGTCTGAAATTCAATCCAATTAAGATATAAATTCAATTAAGACATATTATATCGTCATTTATGTCTTATCCAAATATATGGAGTTGGTTACATGAATCTTGTTTTATCAATTGATTTTATTTAAAAGCTATATTCACTGTTAAATTATTATTTGTATTAAGACTGTTTGGAATTTGTGTAAAATGTCATTGGTGTAAAAGTATATCGATTTTATTGATGTAGTATTTACATTGATAATTAATGTAAAACTTTACGTTTGATAAGAGGTTTTACATCGACTCATGACGTAAAACTCCACTCCATCGATCCAAACACCAACAAATCTAAACCAGGTGCCAAAAAACCGAACTAACGTACACTTTTACATCGCTTCCAAACACAGCCTAAATAATTTTTTATTACTTCTACCCATATCCTTTTTATTCTACTCTTAGTTCTTGTAACTCTGTTCAACTTATAATTATAATCCTACTTCTATATTTTAAATTTTGGTGGTTCCGATTCAAATCCTACTTAAAATATCATGCTAATCATTTAATTCAATATAGAATAAAAAATGAATTAAATATGTATTTATCATTTAAATTGATGGATTTGAGTTTTGGTAGATCGTATGCATTGCGTGATGCATCCTCTACACTACTTAATTATTTGGGCACCCACCCTTCAAATTAAAAACACCCAATTGAAAATACATCAGAAACATAGGTGCAGATTGAATATGATTTTTTTGTACTTTTTACGTTGGAGAAACCAAAAAACGGTCAAAGAAACCATTTGACAAAAAAGCTCAAAACGGGTTTCTTTTTCTTTTTTTTTTTTTTGCATCAGAAAATCTCGTTTGAAAAAGCAGGAAAAAAAGTTCTTTTTAAAAAGCACGTTTCAAAAAGTGACTTTTTCAGAAGCCCGTTTAGACAAAAAAACACTCCCAAACATGACCTACATCTGATTGTATTTATGTTCATGTGGCGTTCAAGATGGATCGCTAGCTATCATCCTTGTCATCAATGTAATTCACGGGGCTTGTCCTTGTCATGGAAACCATCCAAGGATTGGCCGTGGAACAATGGTAGAGGAATGGGTAACTGATCTCTAAAGTTGATTATATGGGCAAGTGGTCTATGTCAATTATTTTAACAAGTTGGTACCCAATTTGAAGAATTCACACGGCATCCAGTACTTTATTCAAATTATAACAAATTCTCAATCCGAGCAAACCCAAATTAAATTGAAACTATTCCTCATGGAACGCTTCTTAAATCCATCTTAACATATAAATACAAGAGATATTTTCAATGTGAAAGTGATATATATATATCGTAAAATTGATGTAAAGAATACTTTGCAAGGAATAAGACTTAGTTTAGTTAAGCTAAATTTATTGGGACAAGGCTTAGTTTAGTTAAGCTAAATTTAATATACATTTATACAAATTCTAGGGTACCATTATGTATATTTTCATGGTACTGTATTAGAACCGTGCCAAAAGAGGTTCCCATCTTGAGACTGCGTTTGGGGGTGGGTTTTTTTCCTCTCTAAGCAGGTTTTTAATAAGCACTTTTTGAATAAGTGATTGCATTTTGAGTGTTTGATGGTAAGGGGCTTTTTCTTTAAAATGTGCTTCTCATAAATGTAAAAACTAGAAATCATTATATTTTGGCTTTTTCAACGGACATTTTGATCCAAGTGGTTATCTTCTCTTTTCTTTTCCTATTTTACACTTGGCTGAACGCAATAAGCCCAAAAAGAACTTATTAAAAGTCCCACCAAACACAACCTGATACAATATTTTAGTTCAGGCCTTCAGGGTAAGCAACATTATGAGATGAGGCAGCAAATTAGAAAATAGGCTGTTATTGTCACTCTGACACTGTCCATCGAGAAAAAGCTTTAGGTCAGGAGGCAGCCATAAGATTCATGAATCAGGCTAAGGAGCTATTAATGACTAATTACACTACACATTTATTTCAAGAGAATGGGCCCAACGTTTAATGGGTTTCAATGAACCCAAAAATGTCATTTCCACAACTTACATTTGATGGTGGAGAAGAAGCTCAAAACATCATAAATCACACATGCTGACTTTTGGTAAGTCTAGGCATATGACGGAACCTAATCAGAAGGTGACTCCAAACCCTCTAAAAATGTGACAAGTGGCAAGTTAGAGAGAGTGTGTTTGTGGGTTTTGTTAATTCATGGTTTAAATTAATGGTATTTTAATTGATTTGTTGTAATGACCTGGCCTTTATATGGGTATGTTGATAATAAATCCTATTTGATGTATGTTTCA